CAATAGCCGCCTCCCTGTCCTCCATGCCCGAACGGATTAACGGTAATTACATTGAACCTTATGGGGAAATTTGCTTCGGGTTGCGGCCAAATCGCATCGCAACCAGAGTCATGGAACGAATTAAGTTCGTAAACCGAGGTTCCACTGTATAGATAAAAATACTGTCCTGCATATTTCTTAATATAACAAATGTATGTTAGTATTCGTTGATAGCTGTGCTAAGCCTTTACTCTGCATCAAAGGCAACATTTTTCTTTTTGAATGGGACCTGCTGCTAATTACTTGGGATTCTTTTAGTACACTGCACATGCTCAGAAGCACAACCTCTTATAAGAGTTCCTCCTGACTCAAATCTCCAACTGATATATACAAAAGAAGGATATGCTGTGTCTGGTCTAATAAGGTTTAAGCAATGAATTCAGGTGCATTTGTCCATGTCCTTGGTTATCAGGAACTGGGTGCATAACAGTCCTATTCTATAATCCTAATATGTCCATTAGCACATGAAATACAACATGATTAATGCTTTTATAAAGCTGATTAATAAGAAAACTTTAAATTGCAGAGAACACAGGCTGCATCAGAAATGTCTATTGTGTAATAAGTATTTAAGATCTATTGGTCTTGGGGACCATATCAACGATTCATATGACTTTAACAGCCAGTATTCACTAAGTTTTTCTGTTGCAGGTCAAGTGAAAATGAGCTGCAAGTAGAGGACATAGCTCAGTATATTTATTCTGAAGGTAAGTTGCTTGCTGGATCTTCTTTGTCTGGCATTCGAGGGCAAAGAAGAAAATGTCACTATGTTCAATAAAGATGAAGTAAATAATTCCATTGAACATTTGAAGCTGCCTGCACTGGGACAGGATGCTGGATTAAATGAAGCCTGTGGGTTAGATCCAAGAGAGTTTTTTTTTTAGATTAGGGATGTTACTACACATCATCCATTCACACACACATTCAAACTCACATGTGTACAGATGGATGCAGGAATGTAATTTTGCCAGAAGCATGGAATGCACTCAGCAGATACATATAAACAGAAAGAGGAATAGCTAAATTTAAACTGGGAAAGTATTAGTTCTACAACCATTCAATTTAACTTTTAACATAGACATGTATCAGCCACAAAAAAGAAAAATGATTGGAGAATAGGAAAGTAGCATTGGGTAAATAAATTAGCATTTGCCAAATATGGAAAGAACATGTATTTTAAATGTGTATCCCTTTGGCTTACAAACATTCATGATCAATAAAAGCCAAATATTAGATGATTAAAAATCTTTTAAAACTCTTTAAAACTTAAAAATATAAAAAGCCTGAATAAAAAAGAAATATATCAAGCCTTTTTCAAAACTCTAGCAATGAAAGGGACAGCCTCAGCTCCAACTGCAAGTAATTCCATAGATTGGGCTCCACTATGAAAAAGCAAAATTAGCTGTTGATGTTAAACATATCTGTATTGGAATCTAAACAAGGCAAGTCTTTGGATCAATAATAACTCCATTTTGTCCAAATTTAGCTTCAGTTTGTTTTCCCATAACCAATTATTTACATCTTAGAGACCTGCACAGGGAGCCTCTTGAGACATCCAAACCCAACATGCAAGAAAGGACAAATATATCTGAATATCATCAGCATATTAGCAGCAGATCGTTTTAAAACCACATATGATCCTTTCCTGTGGTTTCTTAGACATATCAATTAATGTGAGACCAGGTAGAATCTTGCAAGATTTCCTGGGCCATTTCTCAAAGGGCCAAGCAGAATTTTCCCAGTGTTACCTTTTGGTAGCAAAGCCATTTCAAAGAGGTGCCAGAGAAGTCAAATATTGGTGAAAATGCTAGGCTTCAGGGGAAAATTGGAAACATTTAGAGAAGGAAAGGAGAAGAAATGAAGCATGAGTGGTATATAGGTATGTGCATTATATATGTTCTAGAGTACAGGAAGTTAACAGAATGTCATTGGCCAAGTTACTGCAATCCCCTAGGTTTTAGTTATAAATTCAGAACAAGCCAAAAGCCTCTAGATGTTAATATGCGAACCATATTATCCAGGAAAAGCCAATACATGGACTCCTGGATTTTCAGTAAGCAAGCATGAGGAAACCAAAAGGTGGTTTTGGTGCAGCAGATAGCATGTATGTAGTGATATCTTCACCCAGATGTTGCAATATTGTGTCCCGATGTCTGGTACAAGTATGTAAACTATGGTATTTGTGTGATGTTTAGCACTGTCCTCAAAATTAATCACTCGGGCTGTGGCTTCCTGCAAGATACCAAAAATGGAAAAAGGTTCCACAGTTCATAGGTTGCCCTTTACCACAGTTGGAACCAGACTTTGAACTCAACTGGAACTTCACAGCTTTAATGCTTTCTTTCTATACAAAGCAAATGGATCTCTGGGCAAATAATGTTGTAAGACGGTTCAAGAAAAGAAATGGGGGATTCTTGTCCTGGCAACATGGGCTAGGCAGCAGAACAGAGATAGTTTTAGGAAAGGATGGCAAGGAATAGTTATGGAGACCAAGCAAAATTAATGCTGCATTGAATCCTACAAATATGTTGGATGTAGAGCAACAACACATTACAGGAGTTGGATTGCTATATTTTTAAGATTCTTGATTGTGGCAATCTAGTGGCAAGCAAGCTACCTGCATATTATTATAGTAAAGTGGAAGTAGTTTGTTTGTAGAATTGCAGCCAGTTGCCAAGACCCAAAGAGCTGAGAAATCAACTCTCTGCCTCTAAGAAGAACTTAGGTTTCTCTTTCTTGAACCTTATTTCTCTCCTTTCCCTTTTCTCTGTCCCTGTCCATCAAGGTGAACAGCTAGAAACAGTGGTATCAGCAAAAAAGTATGTAGCATGGGGATCAGCAATGGTGAGCTTAGAGTTCCCACAATGTTTCACAGTCCTTGGTGAATACTCTTTATTTGTGTTGTAATCAGAAACCTTATTGTATCTTAATAATTACCAGACTTCTGGGGGAACAAATCACACAAGGAGTTCCTTTGAATTGTTTCTTCTGCAGTTTATTGTTGAAAAGCAAACAGTTTTTCAGTTTATTTTTTTTTATTTAAGTTTTTTAAAAATTTAAACTGAAAAGTGTTATCTTTCCAGCATAAGTTGAAAAGTAATATTTGATACCCAAAATTTTCCTCTATTATTTCTTGATGGCTTGATGGACAACCAAAAAGTACAGTAATCCTTAACCAATTTCTGAAGGCTTGATGGACAACCAAAAGTACAGTAAACCTTGAACCAGTCAACTAAGGTATCTCTGGAACTTAAACTGTGTTTAATTTTGTGTTTTCTAAACTTGTAAACCCTTTCACTTTTGTTTTATATGGGCTTATATTCAAAGTCCTTCTGGAATGGTATGTATTTTAAAGATCTACATCATTGTTTCTTAAAGTGTGGTCCTAGGACACTTGGGGGTCCCCCAAGACCCTTTCAGAGGTCTGCAAAATCAAAATTATTTGCCAGCCTATGTTGAAAAGTAATACAATATTAAAATCCCATTGAACAATCATGAGAAGTGGTAGGGGCAGTAAATGCATCTATTTTAATTTTTAATATGGTAAATATCAATAAATATAACCCATAGAAACAAAAGCTATCTTGGGATCCTCCATAACATTTAAAAGTGGGAAGGGGTCCTGAGAGAAAAAAGTTTAAGAAACCCTGATGTACGTCATTAAATAAATAACAAGAAACAGTGGACTTGGGGTATTTTTGCCAAGTGTGTCCTCAGATTTGTTAGTTAGATTATTGTTTATTGAGTCATTGGTATTATATAAGTTCAGTGGTGACTGTAGGGGCTCCCAGAATTATGTTTAAAATATGTATAACTAAGATTATTAAGAAACTAGATGTCCAGGATCCCATTCTGAGCTCACAGAAGTACAAAATGCTGATTCTACCCAGAAGTTCTGAGAGTGTGAGTTGCAAATAGACAGTCCTCCATATTGAATGCTAATTCTGTATTTTCTCTCCCTGTCATCCTACCCCACTCTCCATACTTTTCCTTTGTCTGTGTCTTACTGCAGAAACAAGTGTTGAAGGAAATCTATCCAAGGAATTTCCAAACTCTTCTGTGATGCAGCCTTCATCTCTGATAACACAGGTAAAGAGCAAAAAATTCAGGGTGGACTTACTTTCCTACCACTAATTCGTCATACACATCAAAACATATTTGTGCAGCACATGAGAGTAAAGGTAGTCCTCGGGTTATGACAGCAATTAGGAATGGAACTTCCATCACTAAGCAGTGTGGTTGTAAAGCACAATGTCACGTGACTGGATCACTTAGTGATGGCAGCTCCAGTTGCCATCGTAACCCCAAGACTGCACAGGTTGTTAAGTGGGAAGAGGTGGGAGTCCCAGGCAAGGAGCATGGGGAGGGGTGCGCGGATGCTGCAGCGGGAGGGGGTGCCATGGGCAGGCACTACAGAGCGTGGGCAGACTGGTGGGGGCTGCGGATGGGCTGGTGGGGGCCGCAGGTGGGCATTTCTAATCACGGGTGGGCTGGTGGGGGCCACAGGCAGGTGCTACAGAGTGGGTGCTATGGAGTACGAGATCCCTGTGATCTTGTACTTGTTAGCGGAGCTACTCAAGAGAAAAGGCAATGGGAGCAACTTATGGGAGTTACGTGCGACCTTTCCTGCCATCTTCCCCATTGACTTTGTTTGTGGGAAGCTAGTAGGGAAGGTCGCAAATGGCAATCACATGACTATGGCTTGCTGTGTCACTGTAATTGCGACCCAGGCACCCAAGCAGCCAAATCATGATCATGTGACCATGGAGATGCTGTGACGGCTGCAACTTTGCGGACTGGTCATAACTCTCCCTCCTTCAGCCCCTTTTCAATTTTGAATGCTGAACAAGTGGTCGTAACTCAAGGATTTCCTGTACTACTTTGTGCAATATTTTAGGTAATAATTGTGCTAATGTAGGAAATGATACATAATACTTAATGACAATATATTAGGAACAATAAATCAATGAAAGAGAATATATGTAGCTCAGGGTTGAACTGTGGAGCCCTTGGTGTTCTCTGAGCTTGGTTGTTTGCTTGCAGATATTTCATTACCCGACTAGGTAACATCGGTGCTAGTGAGTGTGGGTTTTGCTCCCTGCTTATACACAGTAGCTTGCCCTGACAGTGTTGGTGGGGGTGTGGTTTTTCCCTTGGTAGTTCCTTGATTAGGATATTATTTTCTGCTAAATTGTTTGTCTGGTGTTAATCCCTACTTATCTGGGTTTTGGTTGCTGGAGAGGTTGTGTTCTGATCTTTTTGTTTCCTTCTTAGCTTTTTTATTGTCTCTTGAATGGTATGTAAATGTAGTTTATCTCTGTGTGTCTATTGATGGCTGATTTATCTAAATGCCAAGCTTCCAGGAATTCCTTTGCATTTTTGCGTTTAGCTTGGTCTAGTATGCTCACAGTTTTCCAGTTGAAACTCTGATTGAGTCCATGTGTTGTGAGATTAAGGAGTTTTCATTGTATCTTCTGACTGCTAGTTGGTGTTCATGGATGTGCTCTGCTAGTCTTCTGTCTGTCTGTCCTACATAGTGGCTGCTACAGTATCTGTAGTATGTTGTAGATGACTCCTGTTTTTTCTTCTTGGGCTACTGGGTCTTTTGGTTTACTTAAGATGTTTTGGAGGGTTTAAGTTGGTTTGTGTTACAGTATCTGTAGTATGTTGTAGATGACTCCTGTTTTTTCTTCTTGGGCTACTGGGTCTTTTGGTTTACTTAAGATGTTTTGGAGGGTTTAAGTTGGTTTGTGTGCTACGGAGATGCCATGTGGTGGTAATAGTCTGTTGGTAGTTTCTGAGACGTCTCTGATGTATGGCAGTGTTATCCTTTTCATACCTTGTGCTGTGTGGGTTAAGTGGTCAGGCACTTTTTGATAAAGTTGTGTGGGTATCCATTTTGTTGGAAGATGTATAGGCGGTCTGTTTCCTTTTCTGGTGTTCTGGGTTGCTGCAGTGCGTTTGTACTTGTCTGAATAATGTCCTTACACAGCTCCTCTTGTGGGAGGTTGGGTTGTTACTTTGGTAATGGAGCACTTGGTAAGTGTGGGTTGTTTTTCAATAG